CATGTTTTAACATCCAATTAGATACAACTTAAGACATTTTAACACATATCCAACATATATTGATCAATCAAAACATCACCACATAATCCTATACCAATTCCAAGGATTCTCAATCAAAACTTAAGTAATTCAAAACATGGAAAAACTAGAGAAATTGATCCTAATATATGCTACTACCCATCATGCATTATCAAAAATCCCAATAATCAAATGAAAATTCACCCTTACCCTGTTCTAGGTTGATTCCACTAACTTTTGTGTTCTTTCTCTTTTCTCCTCTTTCTCGCTCTTTTCTTCTTTTCTCGTGAAACTATTTTCTCTTCTCTTTTGTTATTCCTCTTACTAACTCTTATTTCTTATCTTTTTATTAAACTAATAAAATAATGCCAACTCAAGTAACTAATCTAATGGGATTACTATCCACGCCCTCGCCAAGTCTTCACATTCTTACACTAGGCTCAATTGTCAATATTCTACAATTCTCACTAACTAAAATATTCCATTATTAACCGACATGGTTTCCTAATGCTAACCTAACGGTTAGACGATCTCAACCCGACTAACATGTCACATACAACACACATCAAATAATCATTTATTCACAAAATCAAACAAATAATTAATTAAATTAAATATATACTAAATAAAAAATTAGGGTGTTACACTGCACTTCTATTTATGTATCTCCTATATTGAACTTACTCATACGTCTTTGGGATTACCTCTCTCATCCAAGAAATATTGTCCATGTTCCTTGGTTACTAGTTTGTGATCTAAATTAAGTATTATTTTCTTCTGAAGTATCTCGTAGCAACTTCAATCCTACCCAAGCTTGTCGTCTAGCTCGGGTAATGACTAATTGTAATTCAGTGGATTTACATACAATCTGAGGCATTTTTACGTGGTGCAAGAATATTGAAATTGATATACATGTTATAAAAAGGTTAGATAAAACCATGGTGGATGTCGATTGGAAATTACTGTTCCCTCATGCAATAATTGAAGTCCTCGCTTAACATGATTTCGATCATAAATCTTTATTGATCAGTTGTAGCTAGTTTAAAATTCAACGTTCCAAAAAATTTCACTTTCAAGTGGTATGGATTTCTCACCCTGATTATAAAAAAATTGTCGATAATACTTAGAGTGCTTCTGGTTCTACTGCGACTGTTAAATTGAGTAGCATCAAGGAAAAATCATTCTTTTTCAACAAGGAAGTCTTTGGTAATATTTTTAAGAGGAAAAGTAAGGTTGAGGCTCATATTAAAGTAGTCCATAGATATTTGGATATCTCTTCATCATATGATATCATCTAGTTGGAAAGAGAGCTTCAAAAACAATTCTCAGTTATTCTATAAGAAGAAGAACTTTTATGGTTTAAAAAATATAAATAAAATGGATTAAATTTGAGAATAAAAATATCAAATTCTATCATGCTCAAACAGTGATTCAGAGAAGAAGGAACAAGATTACTAGTCTTAAAATTGACAGAATTTGGTGTTATGATGACGAGACTTTAAAGAGGGAAGCCTCTAATTTTTTCAAGTTTTTTCAACCTAATGCTCAATGTGATCCACATAGCCCCTTACGTCATAACATTCCTCAAATTCCACAGGTTCTTCATGATACTCTTATACGACCGATATCCATAAGGAAATTTAAAAATGCTATTTATTTTATGTCTCTGTACAAAGCACTGAGCTCTGATGGATTCCAACCTATTTTCTTTACTATATAATGACATATTGTATGAGGTAATAGTTGGAAATTAGTGTCTGATGCTTTTTCTTTTAGTCGCATCCTTGGTGGTCTTGTTAAGACCTTTATCATTCTTATTTCTAAAATTGTCGAACTTCAAAGTCTCGGTGATTTTAGACCTATAGCCTAGTAATGTTATCCTTATGCTTGTCTCTAAGGTCTTGGTTTGGCGTATTAGACCATACTTGGAAATCCTCATTGCCCATCTTCATTGTAGTTTTATCCCCAATCGAGAGACTGTAGATAATGCTCTTATAGCTCAAGAGGTTGTTCACTGCATGCATACCAAAAAAGGCAAATCAAATTTTCTTATGTATAAGATTGATTTTGAGAAGGCATATTATAGTGTAGATTGATTTTTTTTTAAATCACTCTAGTAGAATTTAGATTTCCAGCATTAACAATTAATCTAAGTATGAGTTACGCCACCTCCTCATCCTAGTTTCTTAAGTGGAATAATGAAAACATTGATAATTTTGCTCTTACTCGTGATCCACGACATTGTGACCCTATGTCTCATTACTTATTCTTACTTTGTATGGAGAAATTGACCATTCTCATTCAGGAAAAAATAAAATCAAATTGTTAGTTCTCCATACATATCTCTAACAATAGACCGACTATTTCTCACATCTTCTTTACATATGATTGTCTACTCTTTACAAGAGCAAAAATTTCTCAGATTAGGCTAGTTAATGAGGTCCTTCAAGCTTTTTACAACACCTATGGTATAAAGATTAATGTCCATAAATATAAATTCCGTCCCTCTAAGAATTTATCTGGGGCAAAGGTAATGAAATTTGAAGTTATGATTAACTTTCTGGCAGGGTCACAAATGCGAATTTCTCCTTTATTTTATTGATAAAATTAATTCTCGTTTAACTAGATAGAAATTTAAGGGTCTTAGTAGGCATAAGAGGGTGGGCGACTCTTGCTAAGTATGTGTTTAGTTATATGTATATTATACCATGCATAATTTATGGCTTCCATAAGAAATTTGTTTGGGGAGGAAAATCTAGTCACCGGATTAAATATGATACATTAACTCAACATTCTACTAGATATGGTATTGGCATTAGGAGAGCTAAACCTGTTAATGTTACCATGTTGGATAAACATGTTTGAGAGGTTCTTCACAACTCTGACAAAATGACAAATTATGGGTTCGCTTATTATCAGGTAGATATGATTTTATAGTTTGCATCTTAGAGACGAATAATTATCATTGAGCATCATACACATGGTGTTATATTGCTAAAGCAGTTGAGACTCTCAAGTCAAAATTTATCATCAGAGTAGGGAGAGAGGACATTTCCATTTGGTATGATAAATGGCTCCCAAATGGTAGAATTTGTGAAAAAATTTCTTTGATGGATGAACATGATACACACTTATATATCACGGATGTCTACAATCATGATACTTGAAATTTCGACATCATCTCCACCCATCTTACTTGAGACATAAAAGTAGAGATGGATAATATTTTTACTAATGACAACTCATATAATATTTTTATTTGATAATCTATAGTATCTGGTACTTATTCTACCAAATGAGCTTATTTTTTGTTAACTTTGGAGCCCAATCCACATGATATTCAGTCAATAACTTGGTCTTAGATTTTGAACCTCGAGTTACTTGAAAATATTCGCCATTTTGTTTGGATCATCATGCATGAAAAGTTACCTACCAATTATACATGGGTCACTCATCACATGCCAACATATACTTTTTGTTATAGATATGGTGTAGCTAATTAAACCATCTTACACACTCTTAGAGATTGCCCTAGGGCCATGCAAATTTGGAACAGTTTCAGTTTTTCATCACATTCATTTTTATGAGGATGATATATATAGTTGGGTAAAAATTAATATGGTCGTCAATCATGACCATTTGTTTCTCATTTGTTATTGACAGATTTGAAAATCTCGTAACGAAGAATCCTTCAAAGACAACAATCGCTTTCTTTAAAATATTCTTAGTCAAATAACTACTCTTTTACACTCTACCATGCAGACTTTTGGTGGTTCTAATAAGATATCAGCCCTTAGACTTGTGTCTTGACACACTCAAGATATCAGTCCTTAGACTTGTGTCTTGACACCCTCCCCTAAATAATATGGTAAAGACCAATGTAGATGGTAATTCCATTGGTAATCCAGAGCTATCTGGTTTCACTAGTCTTTTGAAAAATGTGATTTACAAGTCTGACTCTCAAACAATTCTAAAGTTTATTCATGAGGGTGTGTCTTTTACTCATCCTTATTCTTATGCGCCTCCGATAGATTATATCCAATCTCTTATTCATAAACAGTGACAAATTGTCCTTATTCACACCTTACGCGAAAGAAATACTAGTATTGATTGACTTGTTAAATTGAGAGTCTAATTTGTTCAAGAACTGATAGTGTTTTTTATTTGTCCCTCTCCTTTAATTTATCAGTTTATCAGACTATATGGTAATTCAGTTCTCAAAAGAGCTTACTTTTCCATTGGTTTTTTTTCATGATAAAGAAAACCTACGCTAAGCCGCGGGCTAGTGTGGCCAGCACTATTTCAACCTCAGTTTGCATTGAGCAGAAATAGGAATTAGGAAGAGCTTTATGTTCAAGGATTTTCTGACCGTTTGCGTGAAGAATACTTTTAGTGAACACCTAATGCTGAAACAAGTCTTACTTTTTTTAACTGTTATGGGAACAAAGTTTTCACCACCGCTTGTTAGAATAATTTTTGTTGGAAAACCTATAAGACACAAAAAATATATTCTTCTCTCCCAATCAAATTTTCTCTGGACATAAGAATTAGGAATCTGAGCAAATCTTAATTTTCTAAGTATAAGATAGTTCAAAAACTAAACTCGTTGGAACATGCCAAAAAAATTTTTTATATCAAAGTAGTAAATCAAGATTAGGAATCTGGCATTTGTTACTTAACTTTGTAAAAGAACTTGGTACTACAGAGACAATGAATAAAATCAAATACAATGTTGCATAAATATTGTAATATTGTTGTTCTGCTGCAGAAGCACACACTAAAGAACAAACTAAGGAATGTAAAACATTTGAAAAACGTTCAAGGGATATGGTCGCTCATATAGAAGAGTGTGAAACATATCAAAAAAAATCTGTAAACAAACATCACTCTACTCAACATACTATTTTATGTTTCCTAGTCGTGCAGCAGCGATTTTATGGCAACCAAATCATAGACCACGTGACAGTAACAACTATATCATTTCATTGAAGTATTTGACTACCATAATCAGCATTAAACTTGTCGTATTTGTGGGCAAGGAGATGAGCAGATGGCCGTGTGTTCCTTAAAGCTGCCTCGACATCTTCAGGCCTGACTGGCCCAACTTTTGGCAACTCTGTGACCATGATAATTATTTATAATTCACGAGTAAAATTAATGTTATGATAATAGAAAACATTGTTCAAATTTAAAGAGATGCTCATATTTGAAAAATCAACTTAAAAGGAACAGATATAAGTGTTCTTATGCAGGCAGGCACACATCATGGATAAATATTGAGGCTAGATTTTATAAGCAACATACCTTCTTCCGGCACCACATCTTGTTCCTGTTCAAGTTGTGACATTAAGCGTCTCAATGGCTGCATTGCCGTTTCTTTACAAAGAAGGCGGATATCGGAGCCTGAATAACCTTCTGTCCGGTCCACGAGTAAATCATAGGGGATCAGTTCCTCGTCAGGCTGCCGAGGAAGGAGTTCCTCAAACATTGATCTTCTTGCTTCTGGTTCTGGAAGTGGTACAAGGATCTTTCATTCATGGTCAAAGGACAACCCTTTAGAAAAAATTAACACAGCACTCAATTACAACAACAGATTGCTTATTGAACATATCATCTAAATAAGCACTGAACATGAATTTGCTGATCAAAGGGGGTAAAAATGAAGTGGCAATATTTTTATCCCACAAAATGGGTCTAAAAGATACTAAATTCTGGTAGGTCCCAAATATCTTGAATAAATATATAAATAAATAAGTGTGCAACGAGCTTCATGCACGCCATGTTTAAACGCACCCGTGAGGGAGCCTACTTGAAATTTAACCCCAAAACAACAATAACTGATATTTCGACAACTTAAAAACCAAGCAAACAACAACGAACACCAAGTGCATTTTTAAAGAACAAAACACTATAATTACAGTACTCAATAAAGCATAAGTAATGAGGTGATGGGAAATGCTTAATAATTTACTCCGTGCTCCCAAAAAAAGGAAATCTAACAGATAATTCATGTTTCTTCCCAAGATCAGTAAAATCTCGTTTAAAAGACTAGAACATTTAGACCAATTTAGTTATCATGAACATTATGCAGTAAAAATAAACTTATATTGGAAGGATACTCGCTTCTCAAGACGTCTAAGCATGGCTGCATCCAATTCCCAGGGAAGATTAGTTGCCGCCAAAACAAAAACAAGTTCATCTGTCCGTGTTAAACCATCCATCTGCAATCTAACCTAAATGATTAGTTTTGGAAAAAGCATGGCAGAACATATACACAGCTCCATTGTATATTAACAATTCATATTTACTTTGAGACTGAATTTGCAGAAGGCACAAACTGAAGTCAAAATATAAATCTTTCACCGTGCCAATCACCATGGAAACTTAAATAACTAATAAATCACGTCAAGATACGGCAAACATAAAATTTTAACAATTTATTTGGATATTTTTGAGACATAATCTCTCTTTAATCTTTGTTTACTGTTCAAAATATATATGAGAACTTAAAGACCTTCCATCATACCGTAAGACTATATTTGGGAGTTTGGAGGGGAAGGAAGGGGAGGGCTTTAAAATATAGGAAGGATTGGGTGAAAAGAATAGAAAGACTTTGGTTGGGAGGATTTTGGAGGGTTTGTTTTTCTTCAAAACACCAAAAAACCCATAATTTGGGGGAACTTAAAATTAGTATTGGAGGAGGGTTTTAGAGGGCTTAGACAAATTGTTCAAATATAATTTTTGTTGTTATAATATTTCAAAAATTAAAAATACATTAATGATAAGCATTATTTTATTATTCTAAACAAAATCTTTTTTTCAAAAAATGTTAAAAATTTCTCTATATTTTTTTAAATTTTTTTTCCGAAACCCTCCCTTCCCCTCCCCTCCAAACTCCCAACAAAGCCTAAGGGAACTAGAACATGCAAAATTGTGTGTAAAGTAAAATGGGAAGAAAATGAAGAATAGTGTGCTGAAATTCTTACTATTTCAACGATTATCATTACTTCCTAGTTAATATGTGTATGTGCTATTACACTTAGACTGGTAGTGGGTTTCTTCAATTGTAAAGTACCATTTCTTGTTTTTTTTGTTCAAGAGACAATATTGTTCAAGTCTCAGTCATAGCTGCTGATTTGTGGGGGTAGTTTACGATCAATTACATGTATGTTCAATAAAATTTCATCGTCATATACTCATTGAGGGTATTTGTCCCATCACATATAACATGAATCTAATGTAGCATGAAGTCAAAGGTTCAATCCTCTCCTCCCCGTTATACCCACCCCCAGCGCCAAAAAACACTTTCAAATTTAGCATAAGCTCAATGAAGACAGTTCAGACTAAAGAAATAAATCAACAGAGTTCCCAAATATGTGATGGTGGTAGAGCTAACAATAGAAGTTAAATATCATAAAAACTTTAAACTGATTAACCATAGTATTATAATCCAACATCTAACTCAATGATATGTCAGAAACAAGCATCACCTGAATGAGTAGTTCAGTTTTTAACCGTCTACTTGCTTCGTGTTCACTACGTGCCTCACCACGCTGACTAATGATTGCATCAATTTCGTCAAGAAATATTGTTGCGGGCGCATGATGCCTTGCAAGCTCAAATAACACCTTAACTAACTTCTCCGAATCACCTGTAATAAAAAAAGCTTTGTAACTGTACGTGTCTGCGAAATTGCAAACTATAACAAAGAGAAACGAGGAACAAAAGAAATGGAGGCAGAGAGAAGCCAGCAATTAAATGAAGCACTTGATAGAAAGCATTTTTTGGGGTGAAGGTGAGTTAGCCAGTGAAACTTCAACAGTAAGTGATTTTACTTTAAAGATAAAATTCGGATTTCATGAGAAGAAGGTTTTGGAGATGCAAAAGGAAGGACAATATAATTAAATTCCGATTCAAATTTTTTGAAAGTTTAGTATTGAATTAGGAGCCCTCATTGTTGAAATATTAATTGAGTGCTGAAGCTGTTGATAAAATAGAAGATCCAATGGCTATTAAGAAAGAAGAAATAGACATTCAGTCTAGAGGATTGCCAAGTCAGCTTTCAGTTTAGATGATTTCCCTCCAACTCCAACTGATCATATAATTAGATTCAGTGTAATAGGATTTTGCTGCCTTATTGTGCACCTTTTATCTTTCCTTTAAACTCGTTGTACTTTTCAATTGCAAATCAAGGTGAATCACATTCATACTGATCAGAGTTATATTGATTTTATCCTCTTTTCTTCTTAACCTCAATACTCATCATCTAAATCACACACACCAAATTTAATGGATTTGAAGAATAAAAATGCTTAACTCATATCATTCCAAAAGATTAATTAGTAAGGGTTAATAAATGTTAAAATAGTGCCGTATAAAATTAAGTAAATTCTGCATTTTTCGTTCCATTTCACTGATTTACAACGCGACGTGATAGAGAAGCAAAACACAACAAAAGGTCCAGCAAAATAACATCTAGAGACCTGTGCAACCAATTGTTTTAATCCAAGTCATATATGCTATATCAAGTGGCTTCTACAAGTTCTTCTCACTGACAATAGCCAGTGTTCTGATATGATCTATGATATGTAAACCTGTTTGTATCTATTTGGTCAAATAAAACAGAGAAAGAGAATATCGAATGATTTTCCAAATTAAAAAGAGTACAAGATCAATTTTCAAAATTTATGGTAGGTGTTAACATCAAAGTATTTTAAGAACAATATTTAGTCATATCATCATCTAATATTATTTTATTTTATCTTGTTTCAAAAATATATATTATACTACTATTAGAGTATGTGGGTTGGGCCTAACTCAACCTCACAAAACCATGGTCCGCTGATCAATAGACTCTGATACCATATTAGACTTAGAGTATCTCTTACCAATGCTCTGATACCATATTTTAGAGTGTGTGGATTATGTCTAACTTAACCTTATAAAACCGGCTTGTAAGGTGAGGGATGTCACTCTATTTAAAGCCTTTTCAAGCTCTATCTCTAAACAATGTGGGACTAAGGATCTTCCCATTAACTACAAGTATCTTGTATTCCTATTCTGATGGCAAGAGATTTAAGTCACTTTCTCGAAACACCAAGCACTTTTAAAGTTTCATACCAAGATTTTAAGATTTATGCAAACAGAAGTACTCAAGAAAAGACAAAGGAAAGGTTGTTAGTCGCATACCTCGCCATTTGCTGACAACAGACGATGCAGAAATATTAAAAAATGTAGTATTGCACTCTGTTGCAACTGCCTTAGCAAGCATTGTCTGCAACACTTGAACAAAAAACTCTACAGTTATTCATTTACTTGAAATAAAAATTTAAAATTAAACTGTCATATTCACAATCATCAAAATATGAACAGAGAAAAGATATACATTTCTTCATAGTTTATTTTTTCATATGTGAAGATTTATTCATATAAATAAAAATAATATTCATATTCTAGTATTAACTGAGAAAGCAACTTATATATATTTCTGAGGGAAAGATCAATACAAACCTTTCCTGTCCCTGGGGGGCCAAAAAGAAGAATGCCCTTCCATGGTGATAACAGACCAGTAAAGTACCTAGATAAATGAGAAAGATCGGCTTCAATATGAGGAAAAGAATCATCCTTACATCTCAAGTAAATTTTTATTTGCACATATGCAAGTGAAGAAAATCAACCAGTCAACCACTTCATGACAATCTTTAAATTTTAACAAAGCAACTTTTAGCATTATTAGGTGCTTCAAATCAAGATTGCAATAAATTTTTAAAACAACTAACTAAAAGACTGATGTAGTCAAAATAACAAATCTTGAAGCCATAAGTAGCATAAACAAGAGTCAGCCAGACTTTATCCCTTTTGAATCAAGTAATTAAAAATGTAAAAAAATAAACTAGGACAGAAAAAGTGTACAGAAGGAAAATAAGAAATCCTTCAGAGCTACCAAGACAAAAAAAATGCATTTGCTCATGAAAGCCTTGCAATCCCTATGTAAAATGCTGCAACTAACCAGACACGTTTTTCAATCTAACATAGAGTTGCAATAAGAAGCCACTATAATACTGTCAAAGGACTCCTTCAGACTAATATTTTGATGCTGCGAAAACCATAAAACTGCTAACAAATTAAAATATGTATAATTCACCTTGGAATTGAGATAGTAAAGGAAGATGGGCATATATGTGACCTCAAATATTGGAATTCTGTAGATGCTATAACCACATGAAATATGTAATGCAAAATTATTACTTGGCAAGTTCTATATTAAATATTGGTTCATGTAAAAGAAAATAAACATAAGATACTTCTTTTGAAACTAAAGTGGTTTGGAAGCCATCATATACACTTCGACTAAAATGTGAGGAAGTTGATCTTAATGATCTTGTTATCAATGTTTCAATCTTAACTTTGTTGATATTTGTAAATATATAATTGTTAGGAATATTTGTATGTAGAATAGTCTCACATCAATTATATAGTGTAATTAGTTGTAATCTCTCTATATATAATAAAGTCTCCGTAATGCTTTCATGACACACGGTTTAACCTAAATGTCTCTTAGTCTCTCCTAATTCAATATGGTATCTAGAGCCTTCTAAGAGGCAATTCTTCGTCGTGCTTTACCCGGTTGACTCACTGTCTTCCGGTAAGAAATTTTCTTCTGTAAACCGTGTCATCATTCCGGTTTGCCTCACCTTTTTTTTTCCATCGACCTCTGCCAAGCACAGTCCACGAAAAAAAAAACTTTTTTTGGAGGACTAATGTTCACCGCTGCCGCTACTGTTCACGAAAAGAAAAAAAAATTCTCTTTCGGAAAATCGCCTTCCTCCTCCGGTTCCAGATCCGCCCTCGGTTTTCGTTTTCGACTCACAAAATCGTACTCTCGAAAAGTCGTACACTATGCAGACTTCACCTTCTCTTCAGAACCCTACGCCAAGCTACGAGGATTTTCTCAGGTGGTGTCAGACTAACCAGACCTCTGGTTCCACGGCTTCGTTTGCACACACTGGTAATTCATCTGTTTGCGTCTCTCAATCATCTCCTCTTGGTCCTTGGGTCCTCGACTCTGGTGCGTCTGATCATGTTACCGGTAATAAAAAAAATTTCTCTTCCCTTTCTACCTCTGGTTTCTTACCGAGTATAACTGCCGCAAATGGTTCTCAAACCCGATCCCAAGGGATCGGTACTATTCAAATTCTACCATCTCTCTTTGTTACTTCTGTCCTATATGTACCTAATTGCCCATTTAATCTACTGTCAGTCAGTCGTTTAACTCGTTCCCTTAATTGTTCTATCACTTTTACTAACAGTGATGTTATTCTGCAGGATCGAAGTTCGGGACAGACGATTGGCGTCGGATGTGAGTCTCAAGGCCTCTACTACTTCTCTACGTCATCTACCACATGCTCCACCACAAATTCTCCACTCATTATACATGCGCAGTTAGGTCATCCAAGTCTTCCCAAGCTACAAAAGTTGGTGCCCAGTTTATCTAAATTATCCACTTTACAGTGCGAGTCTTGTCAATTAGGGAAACATACTCGTAGTCACTTTCCTGATCGAGTCAATAAACGGGCTGCGTCTCCTTTTGCTTTAGTTCACTCCGATGTTTGGGGTCCATCGCGTACTGTGTCTACTTTTGAGTCTAGGTATTTTGTAACATTTATTGATGATTTTTCACGTTGCACGTGGCTATTTTTAATGAAAGACATATCTGAATTATTTTCTATTTTTGAACAATTTTATCGAGAAATAAGAACCCAATTTGGTTTGTCCATTCGTACCTTAAGAAGTGACAATGCTCATGAATATTTATCCCAACAATTTCAAACTTTTATGTCATTCAATGGTATTCTACACCAAACATCTTGTCCTCATACACCTCAACAAAACGGGATAGCCGAACGCAAAAACCGGCATCTCGTAGAAACCACTCGGACTCTACTTCTCCATGGTAATGTCCCTCTCAGATTTTGGGGGGATGCTGTGCTCACAACGTGTTATCTCATAAATCGCATGCCCTCATCTGTCCTTAATAATAAAGTCCCTCATTCAATCTTGTTTCCAAACTCTCCTCTTCATCCAATTCCTCCTCGAGTCTTCAGGTCTACATGTTTTGTGCATAATCTCTCCCCTGGTCTTGATAAACTATCAGCTCGATCACTAAAGTGTGTCTTTCTTGGTTATCATCGATCCAAAAAGGGTTATCGTTGCTACTCACACACTCTGCAACGATACCTGATATCGGCCGATGTTACCTTCTTCGAGTCTGTGCCATATTTTGCGTCCACCCAAGTCACTCCGGAACCCCTTCAAGAAAGTACTCTCACACCTCTTCCGGACGTCCCATTTCCCATTATTCCCCATCATTCTAGGGAACCTGTCCCACGAGAAACCCCTACGGTTGACCCCCCAACTTCTCGTCCACTTCAAACATATCAGCGTCGTAAACCAACGTCTGTCATACATGTCCCTGAGGTTGTACATGTCCCTGAGGTCGTACCTGTCCCTGAGGTCATTGCAGACTCTCCTCCGACACTATCGCCATCACCGGATTCGATCCTGCAACCTGAGTCTGATCTTCTGATTGCCCTTCGCAAAGGTATACGTCAAACACGAAATCCTTCTCCACATTATATTGATTTATGTTATCATTGTCTTTCTCCTTTGCAGTATACTTGTTTGTCCTCTTTGTCTTCTGTTTCTATTCCTAAATCTCCAGGTGAAGCATTATCTCACCCTGAGTGGAGGCAAGCAATGATTGATGAAATGTGTGCTCTTCAAAGCAGTGGTACATGGGAACTGGTTCCTCTATCCACTGGAAAATCTTTAGTAAGTTGTCGTTGGCTTTATACAGTGAAGGTTGGTCCATATGGTAAGATTGATCGTTTTAAAGCTCGCTTGGTAGTCAAGGGATACACTCAGATTTTTGGGTTGGATTATAGTGATACCTTCTCGCCTGTAGCCAAGATGGCATCTGTTAGAATTCTTCTAGCCATTGCAGTCATTCAACATTGGCCTTTTCATCAACTTGACATCAAAAATGCATTTTTACATGGTGATCTTGAAGAGGAAGTATATATGGAGCAACCACTTGGGTTTGTTGCTCAGGGGGAGTCATCGAATATGGTTTGTAGGCTACACAGGTCTCTTTACGGTCTTAAGCGATCTCCGAGAGCTTGGCTTGGCAGATTCAGCACTGTAGTACAACAATTTAGTATGGTCCGTAGTGAAGCTGATCATTTTGTCTTTTATCGTCACTCAGTACAAGGGTGTATTTATCTTATTGTGTATGTAGATGATATTGTCATAACTGGTAGTGATGAGTCGGGAATACTCCAGTTGAAACAACATCTTTCAAATCAATTTCAGACAAAGGATCTTGGTAAACTCTGGTATTTCTTGGGTATTGAGGTAGCCCAATCTAAAGATGGTTTGGTGATTTCTCAGCGGAAATATGCTATGGATATTTTGGAAGAAACAGGTTTGTTGAACGCTAAACCAGTTGATACTCCTATGGATTCAAGTGTCAAACTACTACCCAATCAGGGGGAGCCTCTATCAGACTCGGGAAGGTATAGGAGATTGGTTGGAAAGTTGAATTATCTCAGCCACTCGTCCAGACATTTCTTTTGCAGTCAGTGTGGTAAGCCAGTTCTTAAATTCCCCTTGTCAAAAACACGTGGATGTTGTTATCCGGATTCTAAGATACATCAAATGTGCTCCAGGAAAAGGTTTAGTGTATGAAGATAAAGGACATACTCAGATAGTTGGATACTCTGATGCTGATTGGGCAGGGTCACCAATTGATAGACGATCCACCTCTGGGTATTGTGTACTTGTTGGAGGAAATCTTATATCCTGGAAAAGTAAGAAACAAAATGTAGTTGCAAGATCAAGCGCCGAGGCAAAGTATAGGGCCATGGCAATGGCGTGAACTCATTTGGTTAAAACAGTTACTCAAAGAACTTAAAATTGAAGAAGCAAGACCAATGACACTTGTATGTGATAATCAAGCTGCATTGCACATTGCTTCAAATCCAGTCTTCCATGAGAGGACCAAACATATTGAGATAGACTGTCACTTTGTCAGAGAGAAGATCGAATCTGGCGACATCGTCACAAGCTTTGTCAACTCTAATGATCAATTGGCAGATGTGTTTACAAAATTTCTGCGAAGCCCCAGAACTAATTATATATGTGGCAAGCTTGGTGCATTTGACTTATATGCTCCAGCTTGAGGGGGAGTGTTGATATTTGTAAATATATAATGTTAGGAATATTTGTATGTAGAATAGTCCCACATCGATTCTATAATGTAATTAGTTGTAATCTCTCTATATATAATAAAGTCTACGTAGTGCTTTCATGACACACGGTTTAACCTAAATGTCTCTTAGTCTCTCCTAATTCAATAAACTTTATAAAGACAAGTTTATTTACTTGTAGAGCTACAGCATCCATAAAAAAGATCCCATATGTAGTTTATACTATAATATATTGTCATATTGACAAATAATTAAGCAAAAAGGGCACTGATAACTCTAAGGAATATTAGGCATAGCAAGTTTTCATTAGTGAACACCTACTTGGGATATTTAATCGGCATCACTACAGCTTCTTTTAGTAAACGTTTGGCATTCTCTAACCCCTTGATGCTTTCCCACTTCACATTTGGGTTCCCACGAATAATATCCCTGCCAATGGTATTATGTGAAATGATAAATAAATAAATACATGAAAATAGAACTTAAACAGAATAAAAGACATGAGAAAACCTTGATCAACTGACAACGTCCATGCAGTCGCCAGTTGCCTCGACTCAAGGGTGTGTACAAGACTAAAAAGAAAAGATATTTTACCTACTTAAGCTCTCTGCTAAAGTACGCATTTCAGCAGATTCCAAAGGTGGAAGCAAAGACTTAGGCCTGTAAATGTTAAGGATAATTATAATTTTCAATACTTCAGAGAATGGAGAAATACTCTATCTTTCATATAGTGCACTAATAATTATAAAAAAAAACTTATAAGATGATACTATTGATGGTTACAATTGTGACCAAGATCAAATGATCAATTCAGTTGTCGCATCTTAAAGATGCACAAGTGTACAATATGTATGGTTCCTCCTTTTGTTGGAAACAAATTCTCAATCTTCAATACAGTAACTATGAGTCAGAGAACTCGTGAGATGATAATACTAGTAATTGCTACAAATGTGAGTAAAGATCAAAGGATCAATTTTAGTAGTTGCTGTTAAACTATGCACATGTATATCATATTGTATTTTTCTTTCCGTCAGGTGGGGCAAAAGCCTGAAAGAAACAGAGTAAGCATGAAACTAGGCAAACTCATAATGCAATGAAAGAAAATAGAAATATTCTTGGAATCCATCACTGTGCATTCCCGCTTGTCTAATTTTGAGCATCAAGATTTTTAGTCATAGTTGAACTAATTGCTTAATAAACTACGGATGATAATCTACATGTTTGTGATATAAATGACATTTAAAATTCCACTAAACTACTCTAACTAGTATAAGTTACAACACGGGCATTTTAGTCCAATAAAACTTCCTAATTTAGTAAAATACATGACATAAGGCATGATTCCAATTAACTAACTTGGCTATATCCGCCACTTTTTAAAACCATCACATTTAATATATATAAAAAAGTATTTCAGTAAGTCTGGAAGTCAAGTTACATATAGAATTCGCTTTATCTGAAAATTTCTAGGTTATGAGTTTCAGATACATCAGTATTAGAGCTACAAAGTTTAGTACATGGATATAAGCCCTGCAAGACTCGTAGAATATCGTAGTCTCCTATGGAAGAGTTGTTTTCATTATTAGGACTAAAAGTATGTACACTTTTAAAGCACACTACAAACTTAATACATTCCGACAGTACACCACTACTGGTCAATTACCTAATTAATCAACTTAAAACGAATAATTGGTCAATAAAATGATGGTTTTCCAGATATTGGGTAGACTACCTATTTAATTTACCCAATCAAAAACTCGATTCGCAATTAATATACTAATACTATTTCCTTCTCAGATTTTATTCAATTAATCCTCACAGCAGAAGAACAGAAACTAAGTATGTGTCAACTACAATGCCCAATTATATGAAGTAACGGATCAAAGAACCATACGGCTTTTCATTAACAATGCTTGGTGCAAAACCATTTGTATGCACTGGATTCCTCCCCTGAAACACAGAAATTTTGTATGGCATAGCACAAATCAGTGAAATTTGAAGGAGCACAATCGAATCACCAGGAAATTCGATAAATTCGACATATCAGACACGGTACCTGGCTTTGAAACTGCTCATAAATAGCGTTATCTGGTGTTACTCTGACATGAAAATTGCCATTAGATGCTACACCAGAAGAATTTCCATTACTGACCACTTTATCAGCAGTCTCACCATTCTCCTCCAGTTTCTTCCTACCAAGCCTAACATCATAATACGTTTTGAACTCCTGGAGATCCAAACAAATAATCAAAAACTCTAAATCAACAATTCAATCCACCAGATCAAGACTCAATCACATCAAACCAAATCAAATTAAAGAGCAACAAGTCAAATTTCCTAGAAATTCGGAAATCTAGTAAGAAAACCAGCAAAAATCGTTTCAAGCAACAATAACAACAGCACCAATTGCATGATGATTCAAAATAGAGTAACATCTAACAACTTCTTCAACTATAACAGTTTAGATGCAATCACAAATCGAAGAAAAAAATGAAAAGAAATCGGGAATCTGAGTTTTGATGAAAACCTGGAAAGACCAGCGAGTAGGCATTGGTTCTTCATCGACCATTGTGATGAGAGAGATGAAAAAGTTTCTCTCTCTAGAATGGATGAAGAGGCAGTTAACACCACCGTCCGCAGCTGTGAGAGTGAGGCCGGCGAAGAGATGAATAATGAGGAAATAAAGAACGGAATAGTTGAGGTAGAAGGAAACACTGGATCACGTGTGCCGCCACGTGCGTTTGTCGAGCAATAATAATCTCCAAAGTGTTTCTTTGGTTCGTCGTGTACATGATACTGTATTAGAGAATTTCTAAATACGTTATCAAAAATTGAAAATGTATTTTGGATGCGCGTCATCTCTTCTTCTTCCTTATTTGCTGCAAATATAAATATAAAATATAAAATTTCTCAAAATTTTATTATTTCAAAATATTCATTGTTTCAAAATTTATTAATTTATCGTAATATATAAGAAAATCATCAGACATAATCGAAATCAACTCAGGAGAATCATCAAATTATAAGTTGTTTTTGAGCATTATTGAGTTTTTTTTTTACATATAAATTGTGTTTTAGGGTAGTAAAATGTAGTTTTTTTAGTTCTTGCAATGTTTGAAGTCCATACGGAAGTGTTAACCATGTCTTTTTGACGATCAATGATTATTTTTTTTGTCCTTATTGGAGATCAGCTTCGTCATTGACGAACCTGTTAAGTTGCAGGTCGCACCGGAAGTGTATTTTCGATTTTGTTCTTGACTAAAACCGGAAGTATACTTCCGGTTATGCATCAGACAGTTTTCCCCCTAATTTTTGTACAAGAGTGTTATTACCTAATACTTGTTTCGTTTATTCTACATGTATTATGGTTGAGAGACCATCCAGATTTCGACACGTGAGATTTTCACAGCATGCTTCCGTATGTAGGGAAAGTATTCATGATTTCCAAGCTCTTAGACAGGTTGTGCCGGATGTGCCCATTGTCAATGGTGTTTCTACTTCCACTCTGTCGACCAGTAGGCGAGAGTCTCATGTCCATTCATCTCCGACTGCATTCTCCCGCAGACGTATGTCCTCACTGCAAGTATCCGGACCAGTAGAGACATCTGGTTCCCACCCACAGACTACACCACATTCAGTCCATACCACTCCACCTCCTTCCTCCCACAGATGCCCTATGATTTTTGAGACATGAGAGACTTCTTCTTCCTAGCCGACACCTACTCTCACCCAGCCTACACCTGTTCCCACCCAGCAGACACCAGAGGCCATCCAGTCTGCACCGGTGGCCCGTCCACAACCTGCATCAGAGGCGCCTCAGATTTTTGGAGGAGGACCTTCTGATTTATCATTACTGTCATTGTATTCGAACCATGTTGCCAGATACTTATGGGACGAAGAAGTAAATATTTCATTTAACAATTGTTACATATTGTGTTTTTTTTTGCTAAGTATTGTATTCATTTAAGTCTTGGTTGTTTATATATGCATGCAGGACCGCGATCCACTCGAGATAATTAACCATGATAGGAAGATCAATCGTCTGATACCACCCTCCGAGCCATGGTTCTAGGAGATGCTGCACATCATTGGGTTGTGTGATTTGGTCTTATATGGATATATTACTGTTAATCATGGTATGATTAATGCTTTTTCCTGAGCGCGTGATGCGGCAGTTCAGATACATGTAACACATTTCCAGACCACCCTCTGAGTGTGCCCCTCCTATGATGAAACAGAGGGATATGAATGACATATTTGATGATTGTCTTAACCATCTCGTGTCGGATGAAGCCTGGAGTACCATAGCACCAAAAGATTGGAGCTATGAGGATGAATATATCTTATGGTTCTTTAAGATGTCACATTCATATATGGCACATAAGGCTCCAGGTAACCCACCTAGACCAGCACATGCGGAGCTTCTAAAGGAGGAGCAGGCTAGGGCCGATCATGCTCATGATGTGTTGCCTATGTGTCATCGTATCATGGAGATTGCACATGTGGGTATTGATAGAGGTCTGTTTTTTGATGACTCTGATGTTAAAGGTGTTCTAGATGTCATCGTGGCGGAGGCTATGGAGGCTCTGTATTACAAACGGCAACGGAGGAATGTCGGGAATATCACGAGTCGACTCATTATTCGCCATACTAAGTAGTCTGATAGTTTTAGATGCGTTTTGTTTATAGTATTATTATGTTTTTCATATTTTGGATTATTTGGATAGCACTTTGAAGAATATTTTGTGTATCGTATTTTAGAACATAATATTTATGAGCATTTGTATGTATTTTAAGATTACTTCGTATTTAATCGAAATCGTATTTTACTACGTATTTTATAAATGCACGAAAACATGCATAATAATATGGTCTGAATTGTCTGTACAGGAATCGAATATGCATATATGGTACCAAATCGTAGTTGCATTTCCGGTTTCAAACATGATTTTCAAAACAAACAAAAAAAGGTGTGCCCCAGAAATGCACTTTCGGGAGGCATTTTTGGTTATTCATAGGTTTTTCCCCTATCTAGGGTGCCATAAGAAATTCTCTTGTATTATCGGCCAGAAAATATAACAGACTATAAGTGATTATAGTCGGACCAGATGGGTTTGAGGTTTAAAAGTTTAGCGGGTCAGATCGGTATATAAATTTATATATAGAAAAGTGTTATAAAATAAGGAGAAAGAAATACAAGAATAGAAAGAAAGACGAGAATAATTTTGTATTATTTCTACAAAGAGATTGGTCCTATTTGTAGGACAATATCCAGACATTGTAATAAACACAAATTGCTTTAAATAAGGAATAAAATCATTAAGAAACAATCATCCAATTATTCATAACACTTCCCCTTGGATGTTTGTTTAGGATATGCCTCGTTAAAACCTTACTAGAAAAAACTCAATGAGAAAAAATCTAGGGAAGGAAAAGGAGTACACTATCCTTTTAAAATAAATTCAATTCTCCTCCTCAGATGAATGATTATTTCTTCAATGATGAAGACCAATTTTTTGTACTAGTTGATTAAAAGTTTTACTTGGGAGTGACTTTGTGAAAAGGTCTGCAAGATTATCACATGAACAAATTTGTTGGATGTTTATATCATTGTTCTTCTGAAGATCATGAGTGAAAAATAACTTTGGAGAGATGTGTTTTATTCGGTCTCCTTTAATGTAACCATCTTTCAATTGAGTGATGCATGCAGTATTATCTTCATATATGGTCGTTGTGTTTATTTTTCCAAAAGACACACCACAAGTATTTTGTATGTGTTGGATTAAGGATCTCAACCAAACACATTCTCTACTTACCTCATGTAGTTCTAAAAGTTCTGCGTGATTAGATGAAGTTGTTGCTATTGTTTGTTTCACCGATCTCCATGAAATAGTTGTACCTCTACATGTAAATAAATAACCTGTTTGTGATCTACCACTATGAAGATCTGACAAGTAACATGCATATGCATAACCTGTTAATTCGAATTTGGATACTTTGGTATAAAATAAACCTAGGTCTATTGTACCTCTAAGGTAACAAAGTATATGTTTAACTTCATTTCAATGTCTTCGTGTAGGTGAAGAACTATATCTTGCTAATAGATTGACAATAAATGATATATCAGTATGTGTATAATTAGCAAGGTACATTAGTGCTCCAATTGCACTGAGATATGGTACTTCAAAACCAAGAAATTCTTCATCATTTTCTCGAGGTCTGAAAGGATCTTTCTCCATATCTAATGATCTAACAACCATTGGAGTAGACATCGGGTGATATTTGTCAATATATAAGCATTTTAACACTTTTTATATATGGCCTTCTTATTGTACAAATATTTCTTTGTCCAAATGTTCAATTTGTAAACCTAGACATAATTTTGTCTTTCATAGGTACTTCATCTCAAACTCTTTCTTTAAACAATTCATAGCTTTTGGAAGCTCTGTAGGAGTTCTAATAATATTCATGTTATCCACATAGACAACTATTATTGCAAATTCTTTTCCTGGTCTTTTTATAAAAATACAAGGACAAAGGGAGTTATTTGTATATCTCTCTCTAAGCAAATATTCACTAAGACGATTATACCACATACATCCCGATTATTTCAGCCCATAGAGGGATTTGTTCAATTTTATGGAGTAGCTTTCTTGAGATCCAGAATATGTGCATCTGGTATATTGAATCCTTCAGGGAGTTTCGTGTAAATTTCACTATCAGATGAACCATACAGATAAGTTGTTACAACATCCATCATGTGCAAATTAATCCCTTCATATGCTACAAGATTATTAAATATCAAAAAGTGTTTGCATCCATTACAGGTGAATATGTATCATCAAAATCAATTTCAGGTCTTTGTGAAAATCCTTGAGCGACAAGTAGGGCTTTGTATCTCACAATTTCATTATTTTTATTTCTTTTTCACACGAAAAACCATTTATATCAGTTAGTTCTCTATTTTATGATTGATATTAATTTTAGTAAAACAAATATAGCAGCAATATGTTTGATAGGATGATCTATCTTGTTGAGAAAAACATGTTGAGAAAGAAGTTATATCATTAGAAGCAACATGTTGTACAAGATGTCTTATGGAGTGTTATTCGACATTATGATTATGTTGGGCTGGGCTATTGGATCAGTTTAAGATTTGACATATGCAAAATGTTTTGGGGATATCATGTTGTCCTATGTGACATTGATTTTATGGTCTGGAAAATTCAAGCTGAAATCAAGAAGAATATTGACTTTCTAATTATGGAGATAAATTAGGAAAGTCACGATTGAAGACCTATTTTTATGCAAAAGATTTTGCAGATTTTTATCAGTTGATATGTTGTGATTTGAAGCCCAAATCTAGTTGAGAAAAGGGTTATAAATAGAAGGTTATTAACCTAGAAAAGGTATCAACCGAAAATGCAAAGTTTCAATTATTAGGGTTGAGTCTGTAAGCCATTCTTTATGAGAGTTGATATGTGTGAGCCTATTGAATATCATGTTGGTATGAGAGTAGAATTGATGTTATAGAGTTGTGATTCTCTGTTGTTCATTCTTAAGCTTTTA